ACATCACCCAGGAGAGAGCCTTCATCATCAACTCTCTCATTACCAAAACTAAGGTAAACTGGGCTGCACACTTTTTCAAATCCATTTCAAAACATCTAGGAAAGCACAATCAGAAGTATCTCTGTCAAGGTCTGTATATTGGACATATTTTGGAATCTATGGGCGCTGCAGTTAAAGGGAAAAAGTATGAAGCCAGATATTGGCTATACTACTTATCCTCCAAAGGAGAAAACCGAGCTAGTGCTAGTGCCACTGCAGAAGAAAGCTCATCAGACAATGTTCCACTCATCAATTTGGCAAAGACTGCCAAGAGGAAGCATGTGGTGTCTCCCTCTCCAAGTGTTGAAGCACCACAGAACCTTGCTTTGATCTATTTGGAAGAGGAAGAAGAAGTCTCTGACCATGGAGAACTTCAAAGGAAGAAGAAGAGGAAGATCAACTCTCCATCAACATCTGGAAATGTCAATCCGGATGAGTTGAAGGAGAAGGAACCTGCTGAGGAAACCTCTGCCCAAAACCGGAGCCCTCAACAACTTGAAGAAGAAATTCCTCAAGTTCAAAGCCTTCCAACCTCATCACCTCAACCTCAAATGGATGATGCAGATAACTAATTCTGGCAGCTCTACTATGATTGGAAAGCTTGGAAAGTTGGAAATTCAGCAGAGCAACTGTTGAATTGGGACCAACAACTGAAGAATGAGAAGATCATCAAGAAAAGCTTAGGAATACCAGTCAACCACAACTGTGAACAAATTTTGGATGACTACTGGGTATGGCAAAGGAACCATGAAGACTTGCATCTGGAATACCTAGCCAACACACCAGTTTCAGACTTTGAAGCAGATGATGAAGATCCTGCAGTCTTCAAGCCAGTCTTCTCAAAAGACACAGAAGATCAAGTGGTTCTAACTTCTGAAGCACAAGGTGTTTTGGAAGCAGCAGCTGAAGATTTCCAAACACTTCCGGAAACCACACATGCTTCTGAAATGGTTCTAACTGAAGTTGTAGAAGAGAAGGCAACCTCTCCCCTACTAGAACAGAACCACAAAATAGCAGAAGAAGAAGAATTTCAGCAACTGGGTCAATCTCAAGTTCTTGAGATTCTCACAACTGCATGTGAGATCTCCAATCCTACTGAAATTGAGATCCCGGAGAAGTCAGCAGAAATTCCGGAACAGTCAGCTCTTCCAGAAACAATGGAGCAAGCTGTTGAAGCGCAAAGGAATTCTGGAGAAGCTGAAAAGGAAACTCAAATGGCAGAACTAGAGGTCTCTCAAACTCCAGTAGCCATTTTTGAAGAACAGAATGCAGCTGAAGAAAGAGACTCCCTCTCTAGGGATATATCAAATTTTGCGCTTGATGAAGCAGAAGGAGAGTCTGAAAGAACACTGAAGGTTACTGATGAAGAAGATGTACAAGAAGATGCTGAATCTCTTCCTATGCAACTCTTCCAAAGAACACCATCCTCTCATCAGGTAACCAATTTTCATTT